CTGATGAGCTGTGCCGCGGGGCACTTGTAGGGGAGTCGTGCTGGGCGCGTGACGTAGAACACAGAACACAGGTCACGTGTTAGTTCTGTGTCACCTGTGAGGTGAGGCCTCTCCTTCTAGGAGGCAGGGGTGGGGAGGGCCGAAACGATGCTCGGCTTGCGGCCTTCCTCTTCCTGGATGGGCAGGGACTGAGTGCAGTGTGTAGCTGGAGAGCCACTTGCCGGTGGGGAGGGGGTTGGCTGGGCGGGGAGCGCTCCGGGGGGTGGGGGTGAGCACCTGCCCCGCCCCCACCTGCTGCAGACACCGGACTCCGTCCCCCGCCCCCTGCAGGGCACCAGCGCCTGTCAGTGACCAGCCTGCTCGTCTGCCATGGCCTGCTCATGGTCGGCACCAGCCTGGGCTTCGTGGTGGCCCTGCCCGTGCCTCGTCTGCAGGGGATCCCCAAAGTGACCGGTGAGTGGACCCCTCCGCACGCACCGTCCCATCCCGTCAGCTCGCTGAGCCCGTCTGCCTCCTTGCGCTTTTGCAGCCGGGGGGGGGGGGGGGGGGGGGGGCCTGCTTAAACCGTGTAGATTATCTGGGGTTCTTTTTTCCCTTCTTTTGTGGCATACTCTGGACTGTCCGCTAATTGGGATCAATTCCTGCTTTTGTTTTTCTGCTGCTTCTGTTAGTGGCCCAGGGAGAATCTTTCCCCCCAAACACGTTTTCATGTTACCTTTACTGCCACCTGTTAGTTTCTGTCGTTTTTGTATGGTTTTGCTCAGTGGGAGTGGATGCTTTTTATATTTTATGTGGCCAAGAAGGAAGCCCAGCCTCTGGACAACGTGAGGTGTGCTTTTTTGCACAACGTTGCTAGGAGTTCAAATGGGTACAGGATTTTCAGGACGCAATTTGGCATTTTAGATCACAAGCCTGAAAAGGCTTGTGTGTCTGGATTCAGGATTTTTCAGTTCAGAAATCTGCCTTGGTAAGCAGCCGAGTCCGTGAACAAAAACAAGATGCAAAAAAGATACTCGATACAGCATTCAATTTTTAGTAGCCCGGAATAGGAAACAACTTAAAATTAGGGGGAAAGAGACAGTTGAGCAAATGGTTGCACTGCCATTTTGGTATATGATATAGTCAGTAGAAATGGTGTTTGTGGAGAGCTTTAAATGATACACACAAAACGTCAATTCCATAAGTAAAACCAAGATCTCAAATTTTACGTTGATGATGTAACATCAGCGATGTGGGAAAAACTCTAAGAAGGAAAAGATTTGTAGGAAACTCACCAAAATGTCAATAAAGATTCTGTTTCTATAGTTTTTTCCTACTGACAACTTTAGAGTATTTCATGTGACATCAGATAAAAAGCTTTTTTTCTCCACGGGCTTTAACAGACTTATCTTTCCCTAAGTTCAGGAGCCACCTGTTGGTGCTAAGGATTCCAATTTTATTGATTTTTTTTTTTTAAGTTTATTTATTTCTTTGAAAGAGAGCACGAGCAGGGAGGGGCAGAGGGAGAGAGCGAGAATCCCAAGCAGGCTCTGTGCCGTCAGGGCAGAGCCTGATGTGGGGCTTGAGCTCCCGAAACTGTGAGATCATGACCTGAGCCGAAATCAAGAGTCAGACATTTAATTGACTGAGTGACCCAGGCGCCCCGGTCATTCATTTCTTAATCTCAGTTTTTATTCTGAGCTCTGTATTGCACTTACACGAAATTGCACGTAACCAACACGTACAGGTTGGACCGTGCTGATGAAGCGGTCACGCTGCACCTGCCCCTGCCCCTGGCACAGGGGCCCCTCCCTCACAACATACCTGACTATTCTCCTGAGTCGTACACCCTCGTTCTGTTGATTTTTCTGTACAGTTTTGCCAACTTGTACCTGAAAAAACCAAACTTGTGATTTTACTGGTTTTTTTTCCATTTTCTATAATTGCCTCATAACATATGACGTGTCTGTCCCTCTGTAACTTTTAGATCACACCTCCCCAGCTGGGGTCAAGCCTTCCTGCCCCTCTAGGTTCCCTCTAGCACCTACTAGTTGGCCACTGCCACTCACACCGGCTAAAGAATCCTGTGATTTAATCTGCTTTGGCCAAGGAGGGGTGAAGGTGAGGGCTAGGGCCTCGTGTCAGCCTTAAAGCGTCTGGTGACAAAGGGACACATGCTTCCCATCCTGGCCCCTCACCTGTGAACCACTTAAAAAGTGCTGACACCTTGTTCCTACCTGACAACGAAGGGTCAGGACGTTCGGGGGGAAATAAACTTTGTTTCGAAAAAGACCTATAGGTAGTTTCTGACACGTGCTCTTGGATTAGGTGATTTTTTTTTTTTCAACGTTTTTTATTTATTTTTGGGACAGAGAGAGACAGAGCATGAATGGGGGAGGGGCAGAGAGAGAGGGAGACACAGAATCGGAAACAGGCTCCAGGCTCCGAGCCATCAGCCCAGAGCCCGACGCGGGGCTCGAACTCACGGACCGCGAGATCGTGACCTGGCTGAAGTCGGACGCTTAACCGACTGCGCCACCCAGGCGCCCCTTAGGTGATGTTTTAAAATTAAATTCACGTCACTTTTAAATCAAAAAGTCCCCAATGTAATTAAAACCACAGAAGTAACTCCTAGAACCTTTTTGTAACAGAAAATGGCAGGAAGCTACTGGCCGTTTACTTAGGCATCTTATTCTTAAAACTGACACATTTCTGGCATTTAAATTTTCTTTTTTTTTTTTTAATTTTTTTTTTTTTTTTTAATGTTTATTACTGAAAGACGCAGAGTGTGAGTTGGGGAGGGGCACACAGAGGAGGAGACACAGAATCCGAAGGAGGTTCCAGGCTCTGGGCTGTCAGCGCAGAGCCCAACACAGGGCTCAAATCCACAAACTACGAGATTGTGACCTGAGCCAAAGTCGGATGGTTAACCGACTGAGCCACCCAGGCACCCCTGGCATTTAAATTTTCAATCAAGACTTAGAAAAATTAAACATGTTTCTGTAGAGCGAGTGAGAAGGCATTTATACAGAGATCAGGAAAATAGCTGTTTCGCTGCTGTGAAAAGTCCCCTGTGGGTTTTGGGGCGGAGCTGCTGCGGACGAAAACCAGGGTTGTATCGTAGGCCGTCATTCTGGAAGATTTCGTGGACTTAACTAAAAATCCACGAGGTTTCGAGAAGCTGTTCTCGTGTTAACTGGTCAGTCGGTGTCCCAGTCGTGTGTGGGATTCTGTGGTTTAGACGGGGGCAGATGCGTGTTGACCCCCTCTGGGCTGTCGCACGCGGTGGTTGCTGAAGATTGCTGAATGACCCCTCCCCCCCCCACCGTCCCCCAGGAAGAGGCATGGTCTCCTACCACGCACACAACGGGCCCGTCAAGTTCCTGGTCATGGCCACCGCTGCCCTCAAAACAGACAAGGACAAGCCCTCGGGCAGCCCGCCACCCGGCGCAGACCCCCAGGACGGAGACCAGAAGGATGTGTTGCCGGGCGAGGGGCCGGGCCCCGGCCTGAGTCAGAGCAGCCCAGACGCCGTCTGGCTGGGGGGCTCGCTGGGCTCCGTGACCCACAGAAGCAATTTCTCCTCGTCGTCCGGGTCCCTGACCCCGTCGCAGGGCTCGGGCTCCCTGGAGCCCAGAGCGGAGGAGAGCGTCGTCTACGACCTCCTGCGGCTCCCCAGCATGTTGCCGAGCAGAGGGCGGCGGGTCAGGAGGGCGAAAGCCAGCTCGGTGCTGGTGGTGTGTGGGGGCCAGGGCCACCGGCGGGTGAGCAGGAAGGCCCGGCCACAGCGCCCCGAGGAGCTGGCCGCCTCCATCATGGTCTGGCAGATCCCCCTGCTGAACGCGTGAGTCCGCGGCCCATCTGGGTGGCCGCGTCCTTGCGGCCAAGCCGGGCGACCCGAGGGCTGTAGCCGTGTCTACACTGGTTGAGGGTAAATCATGTCTTGGGGGAAGAAATGTGCAATACCGTCGCGGTGGTGTTTTCCGGAGCGGAAGCCAGCACAGACGCCCGTGAGGGGACAGAGGACCAGGCCGGGTTGCAGCCGTGTTGGCGTCCGGGGGTGACCGCGTGCTTCACGAGCGCGGCAGACCACGTGGAAACACAGACGCTCCGCGCCCACTCGCGGGCCCTGCTGCTTAGAGAGTTCGCGGACTCAGAACTTATGGGGAAATACAGCTTATTCCGTCGTAGAGAAACTTATTAACAATTCCTAGAGTAACCTTACTCGATTCAGAGTCTCTCCTTTTATTTATATTGTATATCTTTAAATTCCAGCACAGAGTCCGTAACGCTGAAGAGAGCCAGCTAACGTCCCCCGCCCCGTCCAGGTGGTGGTATTTGCTTTCTGAAGTGAAGTGGGTTTTCCAAAGCGGCATAATGTGTGTGTTGTGTATTTTAACAAAGTAGTATTTTTGTACTGCCTTTTTTTCTATTAAAGATTAACAGTTAATGTTTTAGTCAATATATCGTCTGTAACGTTTCACAAATAACGTTCGGCTTTGAACCAAAATGCTCAATACCTTATCAACATTTAGACTCGAGCGTCCACACCAGAAGATCCTTCCCTCTTCCTCGCAAGGAGTATCAATACCCACATTAGAAATGCACGTTTCCCTCTCGTAGGAGATGCACACTGAGCGTGTCCTCAGCTCTTCAGGGTGTTTCCCGCACCTGCTGACCTGGACCTCGGTGCCTGCTTCGAATATGCCTTCTGAGGTTACTCATGGTGCTAGAGAGTGTGGGTGTGTCCCTGCTGGGGTGGGACACAGGCCGGGGACACTGCCTCAGTGTGCCTCCTGCAAGCACGCAGGCTTGCATTCTGTGGTCACAAAGCCCCCGCGTGGTCGAGGCATGCGGGCGAGCAGTGGGCCCCGTCCCGTGCAGCGTGGGTTTACGTCTCCGTGTCGTACTCACTGAGCGGTTTGAGAACATTAATGCGGGCATCACCAGAGATAAACTTCTCAGCACTTTACAGATGACTAAAAAATGCTAATTTTATGCCTTAGCCAAATATTTCCCAAGGTGCACATATACCCCCACGCGAAAGGAATCTCTCCCCAAGCTTTCTTAAACTGTTAGCTGCTACCTGAAGTCATAAATAAAGTCTTTTTATTTAAAAATACAGTATTCGAATTGCCTTTTTTCCCCATAAAACACAAAGGGGCAGTTGGGGGGTTCTGAGGGGCCCTTTCAAGTTCAGGATGGCCACCTGCTGGCCTGGGAGTTTAGTACGAGTTCCAGAGACAGTCCCAGCATGACAGGAAAACAGTGCTGTGACTTGAGGTGGGTGCTGAGCTGAGACACTCCCAAGAGACTCGCGTACTCGCCGTTTTACATTTTGAGTGACGTCGCAGGTTGAATGAATTTCGTGTAAAACACAAAGGCCGCGTCTGCAGCCCACCGAGCTCCGTAACGTCTGTGCGGCAGAAGCCGTGAAGGTTCTCGGTCTTTTCACGGGCCGGGGGAACGGAAGGACTCTGACCTGACACTGTCTCAGAAAACTCCAAACCAGTAGGTTTTCTTCTGGCGTAAATAAGGAGAGAACGAGACCGTACAGGTGGAGGTTTGCATTTAGGTTGTAACATCGATGACATCATTAGAAACAACCCTGTGTGACGCCACATAGGGTGCTCCCGTGGTAGCGGTCCCGCTCTGTGAGGGGCTCTGGGCGCTAAGCGGCCTTTCTCTGGGGCCATAGTTGTCTCCCGATTCACCTGCGGCTCCCTGAGCTCTTCCTGGGCTCCAAGAGTTAGGGCCCCGCTGGTGCTTGGGGCCCGGTTCGCAAGGAGCCTGGCACGGCCCTGGCTCCTCCAACTGGGGCTCCCCACCCTGCCTCCCTGCCTCGGGGCGAGGCCCGGTTCCCTCGGGCCCCTCACACCCCCTGGCCCGGCGGCCTCAGCGGCTCTGCGTGTGGTTGGCGCCTGGCCCCCAGCAGCATCCTGGGACCGCCAGGGACAGACCCAGGTTTGGGCCAGTGCCGTGGACGGGTGCCCCCAAACTCTTAGGTTGGAATCTCACCCCGCAAGGTGGTGACGTCAGGAGGAGGGCGATGCCGAGGTGGCGAGGGTGGCACCCCATGCTGCGATCAATGCACACCGGAGAGGGTCCCCGGAGAGCTCCCAGCCCCTCTGCCGGTGAGGACCGCGAGGACAGTGAGAAGACCATCTGTGAGCCAGGGAGCCCCCACCGCACACCCGCCCCGCCCGGCCTCCGCTCTGGACTTGCGGCCCCAAGGGGTAAAGTGTAGCCCAAGTCGCCGGCACTCCCGTAACCCACCCCCCCCAGGGTGGTGCTTGTCTCTGGAGCCTTATGTGCTGCTGAAGTACTGGCCCCGTTTCCAGAGGGGGCCCTTCCCCGGACAGCCGACCCCACGCTGGGCCCCTGTGGGCCGTGACCGGCACCCGGAGACTTGCCCCCGCACGGCCGTCCCGCCGCCCAGGGGCCTCGGGAGCTCAGGGCTCACCCAGGAGGCCCCTCGTGCTCCGTGCTGTGGGGAATGGGGCCCGGCTCCCCCCACCGAGCCTGCCGAGGTGCTGGCCGAGGGGGAGGGACGTCAGTGCGGGTGGGGCGGGGTGGGGGCGAGACCCTCCATCACGGCCAGGGTGCCCCCGTGTTAGGTGGGTGCTGTCATTCCCCGAAGGGACCAGGAACCAACCCGGAAGTGTGGACTCGTCCCGTGGGGTCGACTCTGACCGGTGTGCCTGCAGGATTGGTGTGCACTTTTGGGCAAGAAGTGAGGACATCTGGTTCTTGTGAACAGTTAAGGCAGGATGGGGGCTCCGTGTTCTGGGAGGGGGGGGCAAGTACGTCTGCAAATCTAAGTGGTGCCAGGGGTCCTGTCCTCAGGCTCCTTGGCACTCGGCCACCTGCACAGCAGGGAGCCCCCGGGGTCTCCGTGCCCCGAGCCTGGACTGGACCTGACGAGGGACTCAGCTCCAGGAGCTGGCCCAGCCCGGGCCCAGCCCGGCTCACAAGCTCAGCGGATAATGGCGTGCCAGGAAAACTTAGGGTAAGAGACGGACACGGGTGTGACAGGGGCTGTGACAGGCACCTCCTGCCCCCCATCCTGGTTGGAGACAACCCCCATCTCCTCCTGCCCCCACCTCCTGTCTCCCTCCCCCCACCCTGTGGGGGACGCCCCCACCTCCTGTCTCTGCACCCCCACCCCCCGTCCCGGGTAGCTGGTGGCTCCGAGCCCCCCTCTCTGAGCTGACACGCAGATGTCCCAGAGTCCCCTGCAGGGACCCGGCTCTGACCTCATCCATTTGGACTCTACCCGCACCACCTCCTGTGTCTGCCTCTTTGGCTGGGAGCACAGCCTTTTCCGCAGTTTGAGCCTTTGGGGGCGCCTGGCTTCTGAGATAACCCTGTTCCCTGCAGAAGTGCTAAAAACCCCGGGCCCGTGAGAGGCCCTCCTTCCAGCAGAGAGAGAGGAAACGTCCTAACAGCCTCGGCCAGGGCCTGCTGCCGCCCTCTGAACCCCCAGCCACCAACCCAGCAGACACACAGGGGAAGAGCTGGGCGAGAGGCTTCCTTCCAAGACTCCGGTGCCTTTTTCCTGGTGTGGTGAACTCGGGGCCTGCTGGCTGGCTTTCCAGGCGGCCTGGGGCCTGCTCTCCAGCAGCGTTTCCTTGGTCACGAACGGGCGACTCACTTCACTTTCTGGGGTATTTCTTTTCTTTCTTTCTTTCTTTTTTTTTTTTTTTTAATACTTTAATGTTTATTTATTTTTGAGAGTGAGAGAGACAGCATGAGCAAGCGAGGAGCAGGGAGAGAGGGAGACACGGAATCCGAAGCAGGCTCCAGGCTCCGAGCTGTCATCACAGAGCCCGATGCGGGGCTCGAACTCATGAACCGTGAGATCGTGACCTGAGCCGAAGTCGGACGCTCAGCCGACTGAGCCACCCGGATGCCCCACTTTCTGGGGTATTTCTGACGGGCTGTATAGAGATGGGATTTTGCCAATGGAGTCCTCATATTTGATTTCCTGAATCATGTCCCAAAGCTGCTGTATGTCAGTATTTTACGGGTTCAATCTGATAAGCGTGTCCTAGATCCTGAGGAAAGTGGGGTAGTTTCTGGCCGGTCTTCTCTCCTATAAAACGGACACAGCTTAAGCCCTAGAGAGCAGATAGTTTTCGGGTGACTTTCGGATTTACGTGCGGGGAAGTGCGTTCTAGCCCACGCCGGGGCGCAGGTGTATTGAGGGAAGCGAGGTGTGCTGCCGATGGTGGCCAGCCACCCGTCCGTGAAGGGTCCCCGACCGCACAGTTTCAGGACCGTTTCCGGCTGCCTGAGACCGTTGGAAAGCACCCCTCCCACACCCAGCGTGGTGGTTCTGCTTCGGGGCGCAGAGCGCTTCCCCCCTTTCCAGACCACATCTCTTTCACGCCTCACCTGCAGTCCCTGGGCACGCGCACGCACACACACTCAGCTTGCACACTCGCCTCTGCGCTCGCCTGCGAGGGCCTGTCTGCACGATGTTTATTCGGGCGGAAGAGGAGAGAGAGAGAGAGGCAGCCTCTCGGCCTGGGTCTGGCTTGAGTTTGCTCCCCGCTGCTGGCTCTCTCCAAAGAGCCTCAGAAAGAATTAACCCTTGAAAAGCGGGTTGGTGAATTGTTTGGTGCCTGACAGCTTTCGTTGGGTTGAAGGCACCCTTCTGCCGCCTCTTCGTGGGGGAGAATTCTGCGTTGGTCCTTCTAGGCGTCTGCATGGTGTGTCCCTCGCCCTCCGGACCTGCGGTCGGTGACACGGCCCCTTGTCCCTCCTGAGAAGGTGCCGAGCCCCGGGCCCCCGGCGCGGGAGTGCCCAGCCAGGGCAGGAAGCGGGCGGCCTGGGAAGCTCAGGTGACTTTTTCTCACCTGTGCCGTGAGGGCTGTGGCCCCTGCCTACTTGGCGCGGGGACTGAGCAGCCGTCCGTGCGTCACAGGCCGTCTTGCCGTACAGGACACTTTCTCGAGTCTGACTCTTGAAACGGCATTTCTCCGCGCCTCCTGTCGGCAGACACCACGTGGGCACAGCTTTGTGGTTTTATGAAAGACAGCCGCCGTGGGAGGTAGGGGGTCTGTGCCCCGTTGGGTGGTTGAGGACGCCGCGGCTGGGAGAGGTCGGGCGTCCCGCCAGAGGGGACTGGGCACGGAGCCGCGGAAGCCGGACGCTGGTGACAGGCAGCAGGACCGGGTCGGCCTTCGGCCAGGACCGGAATTTACCGGCACTGGGGTGACCGGGTGGGAACCGCGGGGAGAAAGGGGGAGGTGCAGACCCTTGGCGGGGGCCCCGCTGGCCGGGATCGTGTGGGTGGGCTGCCGGGAGCGCAGTCAGGCCGCGGAGCGGACAGGCAGAAGGGCGGCCAGCGTACCCGCACGGTGGTGCCCACGGAGACCCGAGGCCCCGCGTGATTGAGGGGCTTTTCCCTCCGCTGGGTTGTCAACGCCAGAGATAACAGATCACCCGTACGCGCGGCTTGCTGGCTGAATGTGCCCACCAGGCTGTCTCCGGTTATGATGCACGGGGTCTCTAGAAGTTCTGGTTCACACAGACCACCCGGTACGGAGCGCATCAGCTGAGCGTCACAGAGCCAGCCGCCTTCTAAGAGGATGACCAGACGTAGGCCACGTGTGGTGTTCTCGAATGCGGTTTGAGGGCTGAGGCAGAGCCCAGGGCCAGGCAGTGATGAATGTGGGGGAGGGGAGCGAGGGGGCGGGCCGAGCCGCGGTGGGGGGCGGGGCGGGGTCCCCGAGGGTCCTGCTCTGGAAGGTCTGCTCCCGTACAGCGTCTGAGCAGAGCCGGGGGACCCAGTAAAGTGTGTCCCAGCCGCTGACAGGCAAATTCTAGAAGGTTCTGAGGTGCAGGGCTGCTGGTGCATGGCGCACACGCAGATAGAGAGCCCTGTGCGCCTTGCTCTAGGTCGGTGAGTAGTGGAGGAGTTATTCTTATGTTTTTCTGCTCATCAAAAAATTATTGCTTTTCTTTTTCCTGTGGTGCCAAGTGTGGGACTCGTGTCCTGTGTCCAGTTCAGTGGTTCTCATCCAGGCAGGGCGGCAGGCGGGCCGAGGCCAGGGGGGACGCTGGACGCCCCGTGCGCAGACGGCCCCCGGCCGACGGAGCTGAGGTCACACCAATTCTTCACGTTCTCCGTCTCCAGGGAAGGTCGCTTGCTCGATTTCTTTTTTTGGTGTGAACATACGGGATTCCTGCTCTGTCCCCAGATGTCCCCGTCGTCTCGCTGCGTCCGCCTGGCTTTGGCGCTATTCTCGGCACCCTATTCTGGGCAAGTTCAACGTGCGCACGTCCAGATTTACACAAATGGTAATTTTGGTCTCCGCACAAAGATTCATGACTGACTCCGCTATGGAATTCCTCAGAGGACAGGATTTCTCCAGACGAGGATCCACCACCTGGGGTTTGTGGATCTCTAGGGGCCACAGTTGGCGATCGGGGCTCTGAATTGCCAGGAAGCATACGCAACCCGTGTGCCGGCTGCTGTGTGTGTCTGCGTTTCCCGCCCCGGGAGCAGCTGGAGCATTCATTCTGCCAAAGTTAGCCACCAGAAGATTATTTGAAGCCACTGTCCTGGTTTGTGCCAGCATCCTGAAACCTCTTTCAGCTTTCAGGAAGTACAGACGGGGGGCTGAGAACACAAGCTTTGACATTCAGACGGTGGCTTCGAGACTTAGGTTTGCTGGCCATGCAGCTTCGGGCTAATTACCTCTTTGAGCCTCAATTCTGTCACCTGTAAAATGCAGGAGGTTGGTAAGATTTACATAAAATAACGGATGAAGGTCTCGATTCAGTGCCTGGCCTGTGGTCGGGCAGCCGTCACTCCTGAAAGCGCTTTCCCTCTGGACCCCTGTCTCCACCACGCCGTCCTGCAGGCCACGATTATTTTGATCTTCCCATGGTTTTCTCACTTCTTATTGGATACGTTCATCCTCTCCACAAGGATGTGTTGCTTGCCTGCAGCGGGCCAGGCCCTGGTTGGGAGGGCCAAGGCCGGGGCACCCACCCGGGGCCACGCCGCTCCGGTGCTGTGCACACGCCTCTGCAGATCTCGCTCATCTCGGCGAGTTCGTGTGCCGGGGCGAACGACGGCCCCCAGATGCCCACATCCTAGTGCCCAGACCCCCCTGTTGCCTCACACAGCAAAAGGGACTTAGCAGATGTGACTAAATTAAGGATCTTGGGATGAGGGGACGAGACTCGATCATGGGGGCAAAGGCACCATCACAAGAGTCCTTGCAAGGGAGAGGCGGGCGGGTCAGAGAAGGAAACGGGTGAGGGAGAGAGCCACAGGGGCAAAGCCGAGGAAGGGGCTTGTGCGCGCCGGAGAAGCGAGCAAACGGGGCCTCCCCTGGCGTTTCCAGAAGGAACCAGCCCTGCCACCATCCCGACTTTAGCCCGGGGAGACCCAGGTTGGGTTTCTCACCTGCAGAACCGTAAGCAAGAAATGTGTATTGTTTGAAGCCACCGATTTTATGGCAACATGTCACAGCGACCACAGGGAACCCGCACCGTCCTGTGGATTGAAAACGTGAGTTCTTATTCGTGCAGGACTAGGCCACGCAGAGGTGCCGTCAGATGGCAGCCACGCTGGCGGCCCGGAGGAATCCTGCGGAGGCTTCTCGTCTTCTGCAGGACACCTTCCGGGGCGAAGGGCAAGATGGGACTGGACAGTGGATCGTCTGAAAGGTCTTCTTACAGCCGGGTGGAGGGGCACCAACCCGCGGAGTGACCATCAGCCCCGTGTCCCAGCAGCTCCCCCGGGCTGCCGCACGCTGCGCTCTGTTCAGGAGTCACCGGGTACCGCCTGACCCAGCAGGGCTTACGTGGTTTGGAGCGGGCTCTCCAGGTGTGGGGACCGCGTCCCGACTTCCTGTTTTCTGCACTGTGCTCTGCCTGGATGGAACAGGTGGTGGTCGGGGGTCTCTGACACCTGCAGCCCACCGGGTGTTCCCACAGAACGCCTGCTGCCTGGTGGGCCTCCAGTGCCCAAGGACTCAGGGCAGAAGCCAGATGCAGGCCCTGCGGCCGCAGGCCGTGTGAAAATGACACCTTACTGTTCTCCAAGGTGGCTGAGGTGTGGTTTGGGGCCACAGTCGTCTCCCGAGTCCCCTGGC